GGGGGGGGCGTGCGAGGTCCACGCCGGAAGGCCGAAGCCGCAATCTCCTCACGCTGTGAGGCAGGCGGACGTGCCGGAAAAAAAAAAGGCATTTTCAAATCAATGCTTAAGAAAATAAATGGAGTTTGCCAACGTGGGGAAACAAAAAGTGGAGGAAATGTGCCAAAATGGATGCCGGCGCTAAGAAGTGGTGAAAAAGCCAAAAGGGGCTCTTGTGAGCGTTTGAAGACCAAGACGAGCCAAGCAGGCCCCAAAAGGGACGCCGAGGAAGGAGGCCGGAGGTGCTCGGGTCGAGACGACCTGGGGCGGGGGGGGGGGGGGGGGGGGGGGGGGGTTGTTTCTCTTGACGTCGTCTTACTTTTGGGGGCTGCGAGTGGGCCGAGGGGATGAGCACCCCAACCCCCCAGGGTCATTGTTTCACCAACGCGGACCACCCCCTTCGCCCTCCCTTCCGCTTTCTCCCGCTTCACTTTTTTTTTTTGGGCGATCGTGGCGACGAGCAACGCGGATCGCTGCGTGTAGCGTGGCTTGCTCTCATCTTTTCTTTTCTGGACGAGACATGGGCTCCGTTTCCAACCAGGAATTCCCAGGTAGCGTTCCCCCCCCCCCCACACACACTTTCCATCCATCCCACGGTGCGCCCGTTAATTGATTAATGAGTGTGAGGTGGCGTCTCATTCGGGGATGGCATTTGCGCTTTACGTGGCGTTGGTTTTTTCAATGTGGCCCGATTTGTTGAAGGCGGTTGCAAGGCGGACGACGACGATGAGGGCCCCGGCGCGGCCGAGGACGACTCGCAGCCCCTGCGGGGCCTGGGCTCGTGCAAGTGGTTCAACGTGCGCATGGGCTTCGGCTTCCTGTCCATGACCAGCCGGGACGGCGTGACGCTGGACGAGCCCGTGGACGTCTTCGTGCATCAGGTACGTTCCTGCGCCGTTCTTGTCAAAAGAAAAAGGGAGGAAAAAAAAAAAAAAAAAGCCCGATTTTCACTTCCGCTTGAAATGGCAATCGTGAAAAAGACACCCAACCCCCCCGCCCCCCCTCTTCTCTTTGGAACTTGGGATTTCGTTGGTTGTCACGACATGGTGACTTTTGTGCGGGCCTCGGTTTTTTTTTTTTCCCCCCCTTTTCCTTTTTCGTTGGTGGTCGTGGAGTGTGGGGGGTTGCTTTCAGCTCCCTCGGTGTTGTTTCCCACTGGGGGGTGGAAACACGTGAAAGCGCGGAGGGAGTCAAGCCCCGATGCTGCCTTTCCACAGGCTCGTTGGTTGGTTGGTTGGTGCCATTTTCGGATGATGATGATGGGAGGCAAAAAAAAAAAAAAGTTGCTTTCATTTAGCGGTTGGCGAAGTGCATTTTTCTTTTTGAAGACGCTCCCTGCCTCCGTTCACCTTCGGATGAATCCCGTGACGCTCCCAATCACAAGGAACAAGTTTGGCTGCGCGTTGTCATCATCTCATTCTTCAAGAATACGCCAGTTCGAAACAGAGACTCTTGTTCTCATTATGCCCCCCCCCTCTTCCTTCCTTTGAATGAAAACAGCCTCTCCATTGGATTTTTTTTTTTTCTTTCGTATTGTTTTGGGGTCATCCAGAAAGGGAAAGCTAAAATGGCAGCCGGCGTCGTTGAAATCTTCTCCGTGTCGTGCTCTCTTCTTGTTTTGACAAGATGACAGAAAGGCACGGCGTCGCTCCTTCCCGGCGACTTCTGGATCGGGCCTCCGTCAAGGCCGCTTGTGCCGCCGCGCGCGTGGCAAGCGGTGTTGTTTTGAATGGCTATTTTGCCCTTTGCGCATTTCTGATGAGTCAAACTTCCGAACCTATTCTAGATGTGTTGGGAATGACTTTTCATCCCCCCCCCCCCGCCACCAGCGTAAGTTCTTTCCGAACAATTCCACACACCCCAAAAGGCCTCGAAGCGAATGAGGCATTCAGTAAGAAACGTTCACTCTCTCTCTCCGGTTCCAAATGGAAACTTTTGGGCCGGTTCCGAACTTCTCAAGGACCAACGTTGCCCCAAAACGTTGGCCATCGGGTTTTCCGATGAAGACGTGCTGGACGACAAGTGACGTTTCTCGACCCGTTTCCCGCTCGATGTGATGTTCGGCCCATTCGGGGAGCCGCGACCTCCGTCCGATTCCCGAATCCCAAGATGCTTTCTCTCCGAGGCTCATCCTTTCCCGCGTGGCGGCGTTGCCCAACGTTCCCTCCCTGCTTCCGCATTTCCGCTTGGAACCTTCCTATTGTCACGTGACATTTCTCCCGGTGGGGACGCGCGGGGCCAAACGCGGCTGTTGCGACAAGATGGGGACTTAGCATGTGAATGAGAGGAGAGAGGCCGCTCGCCGCCTCGTTCGCCTCCAGGTTCCTGTCGTAAAGTCATCCATCCCCCACGCCAAAGAGCTCTTGTCGCTTTCACGTGCGTGAATGGGAGGATTGGCGAGTTGGACTCGGCGTCGCTTTCAAGTACACGTGGAGGCAAAGTGCACACGAAGGGGAAGCTCGGTGCTGCCGCCAGTGTCGAAACGGGATCGCCGAAGACACGTCGGTGACGCCAATGAGCTGGGCGCAAGTTATGCCGCGCGTCATTGGCGCGTTCTCAAATGGGAGGGCGACATAAAAAAAGAGAGCGCGAGGAGGCCCGGGCGATCAAATTAGTGGCCGGCCGCGCGTCACCGAAAATCAACTGCCAGGATCCTCCGAGCCTTTTGTGCGGGCGCACAATGGGGCCCATACGTGTGAATGGGGCACCCCTCGGCCCGTGACCGAGCCCCTTCTTTGTCTCCGGGACGGTCCTTCTCTTGGCCGCTCGAGCCTCTGATGTCTTCCTCCGCCGTTGCGCGAACAAAAGTCCGGCGCGCTTTGGCACTCCAAAGACTTTTGGAGTCCACCCTGGAAAACTTCAAGCCTCCTCACCTTCCCCGAATTAGCTGACGGCCGTTGGCGGCCGGGGTCGCGCGTGGGGGCCAGAGGAAGCGGGTCACCATCGGATCCCGACGGGAGCGGTCGACGGGTGCTCGAGAAATGGCCCACAAATCAACCCGTCGTCGTACTTGGCCCAAAAAGCCGGCGCGCCTTGGCAAAGTCTGGTGCATTCTCCGCATTTGAAAACGAAACGTGTGGTGCGGCGGTGCCTTGATATGCGAGCGACTTCCCCGTTGAAGATTACTGCCAAAGTAAACGTCAAACCGAGAGCTTGCCGTTCATTTAAGATCAAGATTGCTATTGCCAATTGTTCCTGTTTTTTCACGGATGTCATTTTTATTTCATTTAGCAGCCCGACAGCAGTCGGTCGGAACGAGCGGCGGTACGTCTCCTCCTTGCAGCGCCGATGTAACGGCCTCTGGACGAAGGAGCTCTCACCCGGCGCTGTCAGGGCGGGCCGGAGGCCTTATTTCACTTCGCTTGAAGCTAACGCTAGCGGCGCACCGGCTAATAGGTGCGAGTCGGCCGCCGTCCAAGAGATGCTCCCGTGGTGCCGCTTCCGCACGTTTCTCCCCTAAAATGTCGCTCCTTAAAAGTGCGTCAAGTTTCCCGTATGGCGGCTTTGCGTCCGGAAGGTGACGGAGCCGACGCTCCGGGCCAGAATCTTTCCGCCACCGCAGCAACCTTGAAGGCGTTTGTCACATGCATCCGTCCTCCCCGCGTGTTTTTGGGACGGAAGGAGTTTGAGATATGAGACCTTTCCGCCAACTCGCCACCTGCTCTTTTTTAGCAAACGCTCACGCTAGCCAAGATTGGCGGCTCTTTGGCCCATTTCAGGGCCGCCTTTCTCCTTCAGGTGGCAAAGTTCCCTCCCCACCCTCAAAAATGAGGCGTCTCGGTGGGGGTTTGCTATCTCTGCGGACGTTGTTGCTCTTCTGAGAAATATTCGAATGGAAGGAGCGAGCACCCCCACAAAGTAGCTCCATTTCCTGATCCGAGGCCCTCTTCTCATGGTATGTCTCTGGGCTCACTCCAGTTGAATGGAACCGTGACTTCTCTTCTTGTTTAATGACGGCCCATTTAAGCCCCAGTGCGCCCCCCCCCCCCTGGTTTTTTTTTCATTGTCATTTGATTAATTCAGCGAGTCAACCGGCCCCCCTTTCCCCTTGTCTTGCCACGCGTCGTTACACAAACCCCGAAATTAAATCGCAAATCAAGTTGTCGCGGGCTTCCGCGCGGGGGGCGGGGGGGTGGGGGCTATCAAAGGAAGACATCAGTCAGACCAACACTTCCCCCGCACCACCCCCCACCCTAAAACTTTTAATCTTGTTCGTCTTTGTGCCCAACAACCATCCGAGGAATGTCATCCCGATCGGCAACCCCCCCCTTGCCTTGCCTTGCCTTGCCTTGCGCCTAACCCCCGCTTGCGTCCTGCACTTTAGATTTGAGCGGCGGTGGCTGTGTTGGCCGAGTGGGGGGCTGCAGTGTGGAATGCTGCTCCTCCACCCTGAGAGCAAGGTGGGGGGGATGGGTTGAAGGTTACCCGCATCAGCTTGACCATTGGGAATTTGGGGGCGGGGGGGGGTATGAAGCAATACCATTCAGTGGATGTTGCTTGGGGGGGAGAGGGAGGTAAGCACACTCTTAAATAGTAGGACGGAAGATTAAAAAGCCCAAAGACTGAAGAGTGAGCAAAGTCAAAGTAGTGACGTGACGCCGCGCTGCGGCTCGACAATTGCTTCGATTCCGTCCGATGGCGTTTTCATTCGGCAAAGGCTGCAACGAAGGGGACAAAAAATGCTTTGCTTCGATCGGTCGGCACACTTCATTTGTCCTCCACTGGTGCGGTTCATTTCATAGCAGTAAGAGGTGCGGTCCACATTCAGGACCCCGAACCCGACTTGTGACAAGTTGAAGTGAGAGCGCCTCGGATTTGTTTGCGCACTCTTCTTGTAATTCGACGTGTCGTTGATGGACGCCAAATTTTGTGACGTCGGAGTGAAACGCTTGAGAAATTGCAAGTCAAAGCGTGACGTGAAGTCGGCGGCTCCATTTGAGGGCCGGAATGACATCGTCTTCATCCGAAGAACATCTTGCGTCATCGAGCCGATTCGTGCCCCCCCCCCCCCCCCCAAAAAAGACCCGGGATGACAAGTCAAGCGCCGTTGTGCTTTGCCGCTTCCCCGCCCGCGAGTGCTGACTGCCGGCGGCGTTTCCCTCCCCCAGAGCAAGCTACACATGGACGGCTTCCGCAGCCTGAAGGAAGGCGAGGCCGTGGAGTTCACCTTCAAGAAGTCCTCCAAGGGGCTGGAGTCCCAGCGAGTGACGGGCCCCGGCGGGATCCACTGCCAGGGCAGCGAGCGCAGGCCCAAAGGCAAGAAAGTCCAGAAGCGGCGCTCCAAAGGAGACCGGTAAGCAAAGCCTCGGAAAGGAGATCGCATCTGAATGCCACTTTAGCATTAGCAGCTAGCGAGGTTTGGCAAAGCAAAGCTGTTTTGTACTTAAAGACGCCAGGCGTCTCGTTCTATATCCGTTCCGCGTTCAGCTCGATAGTCGACCGCGTCGGGACGGCAGAATGGCCCGCGCTGGGCTGCGCGCTCGCTACGTCGTCGTTCTCGCGATGTAACGTTTGAAAGATGGAGAGAAGGCAACATTGCAATCGGGAGGATTTGGACTCGCGAACCGACGCTGACGACTGCAGTCAGCCCCAATTGAGTGGATGTGGGTCATGTTTTGTATTTTCCGTGGGTGGGGGCGGGGGG